CCAACAAGAAACATAACAAAAAGAATCAGACTGCTGACACAATGCTTGCTGACACAATGCATTTTTTTGCCACGCAGAGTCGCTCAAATCTCTGGGTCATGTACTCCCCAACCAAGTCGCACGCAAAGCGCATCAGCAATTAGGTCAAGCTGGCTGCTGTCTGCCTGCTCTTTGTCAAAGCTTTCTTCAAAAGCTTGACTTCCAGCGCCAGGCTCAGTGGTACTGCCTGGCTCCACACCACCAGTCTCTTCAAGAACAGGTCTTTCTTCTCCAGGTTCTCCAGCTTCATCAGCCTTTCCAGGAGCAGGGCCTTCTGGTTGTTCAGCTTCCTGAGCTCCGCTGGGCTTGCTCTTTGGCTTAGCTGTTGCCCTTATGAACTTCCTGTTCAGGTCACTGTTGGTGAGCCTGCCATCTCTCTTTCTTCTCTTTTCAGCACCTGTTGGCTGTTTAGGCTTGACCCACATGCTGCTGCAAAGGTGTGTATTCTGCCAACAACAGCAACAGCAACATCCATGAGGCACCACGTCGATGAACAGCCACATCTACCTAAGGGCCCATTACTGGTCCCAAACCTATTCAAGGGCCCATCACTGGTCCCTCCACACACAACTACCAAACACACTTGCATTACAGCAGGGCCCATCACTGGTCCCCACCTCCAAAAGTTTAGCCAGACCTATACCTTTAAGTGGAACACTTTTTTTTGAACAACACAATGACTCACATGCACATTTTGGACTCCACAGCCAGCTACCCTTCATCTTGGGCATCAAGGTACTGCTGTCTCAGCTCCAAGGCCTCTGCTTTGGACTTTGGTGATTGGTGATAGATTTTTCTGATCACCTCAGCATGTTTTATGCTCTGCCGCTTGGTCACTGCCACCCACAGCCTTTTTTGTTGTCCTCCTTTACACAAATGTAGCTCTGGTCTGTGCCAAAGGTTGTATAGAGCTGTACTTCATGTCCTTGGTTGCCACTGCCTTTGTCCTTTGAACCTTCTGTGGCTTGCGCATCTTCATTGGCTGCAGGCCTTTTGAAACTTGAAGCTTTGACCTTGGGTGCGCCCACATTTTTGCCACCTTTTGCTGCTGGCCTCTTCACACATGAAGCTGCTGGCCTCTTGCAAACACTATCAACCTCAATCTCAGGCTCCTGAGCAGCCTTAAGGGTTCTGATCTCTTGCTTGCTGATAGGCAAAGGCTTGCCAACATCCAAGTCAGAGCTGCCATCTGAACATGGCACTTTGGGTAGCCCATACTCATCTTGGGAAACTTGAGACAGGGGCATGGTGTCAGTCTTGAGCTCAGTAGAAGGTGCCCCACCAGAAGCAACATCTCTACTGGTAGAAGAACCAGCAGGAGCTGAATCATTTGCAAGCTCATCCTCATTCAGCTTCCTCAAAAAGTCAACAAAGTCCTGGAGTTTGTCCTGCTTGGTTTGGGAGAGCCTTCTCATGAGCAATGACAGCTTCACCTCCCAGCCTTTGTTCAGTGCTAGGACCCTGAAGTGCTTCTGGACGATCACAAAGCTGTCTGCTATCTTCTTGGAGGCCTCCTGGACAGTGTCACCCCTGCTTGGCTTGCAGCTTTGGTCTTTGTGCGTGCAGGCCATGGCAGCCTCCTTCAAGTCACCATACTTGACTTGCATGCCTGGGCTAACTTTGGCAATTGCCCTGGCCACATCCACTAAGTCCACAAGATCTACTCTTGGTGCGCATTCAGCCCACACACTTTTGTATTCACCAAAGGATGAAAAGATTTCACATCCCTTCTTTGACAGCTCCAGCCAAAGATCCACAAGGTGGTCTATGTCAACCACATCCTTGGCCTTATTCCTCACACCTCCTTTGGAGGTCTTTGATGTGCCTCTCTTCATGGAAGCTGGTTGGGCCTATATATGCAACATGTCTGAAAATGCAGCAACTTCCCTAAGCAAAGGCCCATTGCTGGTCCTGCTTGCATCAGGTCAACCCTGCATTTAAGGGCCCATTTCTGGTCCCTTCAAAAAAGTAGCAAATGAGCATACTCTAAGCCTGGGTGCTGCACAGGTTTTCGCCCTAGCAGGTTCTGTTCAACTTTGCTATCTACAATCCATCCCTGTCATTGTAAAATGACTGGAGCAAATGACACAAGCACTTGCAAGTGTCCTTGCAAAAAGTGCAAGTGTTTTTGCAGTGGCATCTGCATCCTGATTGGCACACGACTGTAGTCTTGCCATTGCTGGCCTTCACCCTTTCCATCACCACAGTTCCACAGTAGACTGTGTTGGTGCCATACTTCAAGACAAAGGGAATCTCTTCACCTGAAGGTGTCTCCAGCCACTTGATGCTATCCCTTTCTTGGTTTGTCCTTGCTTTCTTTCTTGCAGGAGCTGCAAGGTCAAGGTCTTCTTCAAGCTGGGTGTTTGCTGGCTCATCCAACTGGGTCAAAACAAAGCCATGGTCTCCAAAGTCAGCTGCTGGGTCCAGCTGTGAATCCTCCATGCTGGGAGGAGCACAATCTACACAAGCTGTAAGTTTTCAAAAACAGCTACAAAGACAAAGTTTGACTTGACTGGTTGTACAATCACATGGGCCCAATACTGGTCCCCAAACAATGGACCCATATTGCTGGCCCCAAAAAGAAACAAATCACACAACACAGAAACAAATCACAGAACACAATGGGCCCATTGCTGGTCCCAGGCAGCCACAAACTTGAAGCTACATACCTAGACAACCCACATAAATACAACTACATTGGGCCCATTGCTGGTCCCAGCGCTTTATTTTGCTGCCTTTAGGCATGCTCTGGTGCTAGGTCATCTAAGGATTGCAATTTGATCTATGATGTACTTCACTTCTTCTAGCTTGGCATTGAACTCAGCAGGGGTCACTGGCATGTTGCCCATCACACCTTCCAAGAACTCATGCAAAGGCTTCCACTCCATCCAGCCTGGCAGGGAAGGAGCATGGAAGAGTCAAATGCAATAGGCACATGCAGCCATGAAGAAACCAAAAGATACTTTGGCCCAAACAAGCCTCCAGGGAAGGTGGTGACATGCCAGTAGGATCTTGTGCCATCTCTATGGTCCCAAGTCCTGAACCCTGCTCTGGGGCTCTCCATGTCCAGCCCGGTGGCTGCAAGTGCACAGCACATCAATGATGGGCCCAATCACTGGTCCCATATACAAGTTGTGTGTGTGTACATGCATCCATTGAGAATGTCAATGCTTCACGCACTGCTGCAAACAAGCAACAAAAATGAACCACACATATCAATATTTTTGAACAAAAAAATCAATATTTTGGACAATTAGCAATCAATATTTTTCAAAAAAAAATATTGAAAAACAGTTTCCTAAAAAATATTGATTTTTATCGAAAATCAATACAGGTATTGATTTTCGATGTTTTTCAATATTTCTGTTGATTTTTTTCAATATGGGAGTCTCTGGGGTGAAGGTGATCGAGGAGCTGGGACGACTAGTGATGTCAAGGATCTTCTGAGTGAAGCTACCACGCTCCTGAAGAGTCTGCGACCGGCCCCGTCGGTCAAAGCAATCAGGCTGAGCAGCCTAGAAGTTCGTGAAGGAGGACGAGCCCTACTAGATGGTGGAGCAACCCACTGTTTGAGGAAGGCTGCAAGTGAGTAAGAGTGGATGAGAGCTCAGGAGGTCAATGTTGAGCTAGCAGCGGGGACAGCTGTCTTGAGGCTGCTACCATGGACGAAGACTCTCTTGACCAAGGAGGAAGTCCAGATGATTGTGCCGCTGGGGGTGCTGATCTCCCTAGGCTATGAGGCGGTGTGGGAGAAGTCCCGCTTTGAGCTGAC